AGGAAGGTGCCGAAGGGACGCGTGAGACTGACCGAGTGGTGGGGGGACGAGTCACGTGACCGCGAGTAGTGGGGATCGCGCGGTCGGAGTGGGGATTCGGTGGGCGGGGCCAGTGGTTTCTCCTCCGTTGACGATTCTCGGGACGCAGGGCGCAGGTCGATTCGAACGATCCGCACGAGGGACGATGCGATGGGTGGGGAGGGGGGGTGAAAGGGCAGAGGGAGAGGATGGGCACGGGGTGATGCTCGTGACGCTGGCTAGCGCGAATTTTGGCACAGCTCGCGAAAATTTCTCACTCGACTTTCCGCGGAAAACTCGGACGGCTCTTGACACGGCCAATCGGCTTGAATTATGACTGATGAAGTGCCGTTTCGCGGGCTAATGGAGGAAACCGACCGTCGAGGCTAGCCGGTGTTAAGTATGGATCAGTTCGCTACCTACGTGAATCTCTCTTGACCTGGCTCGGAACGACAGGGACTAAAATTGGAGACGTTGGATGGCATCGTTGATTTACGAGTAGATTCAGACGTACGTATACTAATTTTACCGATGATAGCGATACTCGATTGGTTGGTAAGATGTATTCGAGTTAACTTCGAAGAACACGGTGGTAAGAATATAATTTTTGTTCGATCTTTTTGCTTTCGCAGAACGAATAAATAAGGTCGATCGATTTCCACGGATCAAGAATTTCACGGAGAAATCAATGTGAAAGCTTCTCCCGAAAAAGAAAAAAAAAAAAAAATACTCGACACCTTGCAAATACTCTCTATCAAAAACATCTCGTCACAGAGCGCGTTTCCCCTGTTCCTGAAAAACTGCATGATTTTATCGCCCGATCCGCGGCAAAGCCCGTGAAAATCCAAGCAACGTGTCAATCGGCTGCGTTGTCGACAGCGAAGTTTCGAGCAACGTCGATCACCTCCCCCTCTCTCTCCCCCTCCCTTTCCCAACAACCTCGCGAACAACCCGATGCCGCGGGGAGGGTGGTGTTAATGGGCGTATTCGCGGTTAACACCCTTAAATTCGCGCTGGGGAGGGGAGGGGACCGACGGCCGGGGAAGAGAGAGAGAGAGAGAGAGAGGGACGGAGAACGTCGGAAAAGGCGTCGAGAGCAACGCCGCTCGGATTGGCGCCGGAACGCCAATCCGAACTACGAGTGCTCATTATCGCCCGCTGCTCGTTGTGGTGGGGAGTCGGAGTAGACAGCACTACCCCTCCTCGTCCTTCTCTCGGCCGCTCGGCTAGTCTCGTTCTTGTTCGACGCGGTGGTGCACCGCGGTCGCCTGCTAGGTTGTCGAGGCAGGTTTCCCCCACCAGGGCTCCACGNCGAGAAAGAAAGAGAGTTTCTTTTTTTCCGCCTCGGTCGCGTGTCGGTGTCGGTGTCGCGTGAACGTTTGGATTCGCCTCGCGTCCCTCGAGTAAGTACACGCGTTCGAAGTATACGAAATATACAGTGGTAAAAGTGTGCGCGCGTGTCGCGTCGAACTTGCTTGCTCGCTTGCGGGTTAAGTCACGGGACGGGACGGAACATTTGTAGGTGTTCGAAAAAACGAAGAAGTGAATGATGAAGTGAACAGTGAAAAGCAAGAAGAATATACGACGAATCCTCGAGGTGGTGGTTTTGTTCGATCGATCGGTGCTTTCGGCCACGGTGTGACTCTGTCCAAGCGCCACCGCCGTCTCTCCGCGAGCCAGTTCACCGTATCAACGCATCTTTCCTCGTGGATGAGTGCTCTGCGCGTGCTTCGCAAAAAACTCTCCTCCCCCGGTGTTTCTCGCAAAGTAAATTGGTGATATCCTACGAGAAAGATATTGTTTCCAAGTGAGAGGCAGGGTTCCAAGGTGAGAGGGTTCTCGAGGGTTCAGGAGGAGGAAGGAGACGTACGATATGTCGAGCGGACGGCTCGCGACGGACTTCGAGGGACGGAGATCGCAGGGGGAGCGACGAGAACGCAGCGTGGATCGAGGCCTACGCTCCTGAACGTTTCGTCCACGTAGCACGTTGCAAATTCGTGGAAAAACTCGCGAGTATGCCCGAGATCCGAGCGACGGCCGAGACTGAAATCGCGCTGCACCTGGTAACATCGGCGTCACTCGACGCGGCACGGATCACTGAGATACAACGGTAATCGAATCCTACACGAAGAAACAAAACATCCCTCGTGTATCGAAAAAGAAAAAAGAAGAGGAGGAGGAGGAAAAGGGAAAAGAAAGAGGAAAAAGAGAGGAAAATAAAGGGGAAAAAAAGCAACCGCAACGTCTAAAATTCGATCCCCCGTAATGTGTATTGTGTTGTTGTGCGTGTGAAATCCAAGTTGTTCGAACGGTAAGAAAGAAAGAAAAGAAGAAGAAGAAGAAGAAGAAGAAGAAGAGTAGAAACAAGAAGAGAGCGAGGAGAAGAAGGGGAGGAAAGAGAGAATCGAAAGAAGAGGAAGGGGAAAAAATAGGAAGAAGAGGAAAAGGAGGAAGAAAGGGAAAAGCCTCCCTCGGTTTTTCTGAGTCACTCGAAGAGGAGAATCTCGCGCGACTCGGCACACCCGCCCGTCTCGATGAGATTCGAACAAGACACAGCGTGCAGGGGTACCCACTGCGCCAGCACTCCGCAACCCTCCGCGCTGCAGCAGCGATCACGGATCGAGGAGGTGGTCGAGGAGGAGGTGGACTCCTCCTTGAAGGACATAGACGTAGGCCAACGGCGTAGACGAGAATTGGAGGCTAACGTGGTCGAGGGTGCGAACACGGGGCCGAGGGCCGAGGCGGGGGGGCCTGGGATGGCNGGAAAGGGATCCTCAGCGGCACCCATCATCATCCGCATCTTAACCCCCACGGTATCACGCCGCCAGGTGAGCGATAGCGTTTATGGATCTCTCTCTCTCTTCCTTCTTCTCCTCTTCGTCTCGCTTCCTCCTCGCCCGAGAGAAGTGTTTTCCTTTGGGAAACGGTGGCGGTGATGCTGGTGGTGGTGGTGGTGGTGGTGGTTTTAGGATGGCGGCAGAGAGAGAGAGGGGATGTCTTTCCTTTTTGCAAGGAAATTTTTTCCAGTTTTGTGTTCGATGGAGAAAGGGGAGGAAAGGAGGAGGAGGAGGAGGTTAGAGGTCGATGTAGGTCGACGATGGATTGGTTTTTTGGGAGGTTTTTATTCTTTTATAGATCCTTGTGTTTCTTTATCACGCTATTGTAGAATATATATGTATTTAGGTATTTAGAAAGATGGGTTGAAGCAGATACTTCTTTTTATCCAGTTCAGGGAAGGAGAAATGGTGTTAAGTAGAAACGTTAAGTTAGCAACGTATAACGTCTTTCATTCTGGAATGGAAAGAATGGAGTTAGATAATAATCTTGATGAAAATCGTACAAAATCCTCGAGTAAAGTAGTTTTATCTTGATCTAGAGATCTGTAGGAAAGCAAAAGCTTTTAATTAATCCGTGAGAATGTTTCTTCTATTCGCGTTGAGGCAAAAAGTATTTATACTTTTACATTGTCTCGTCAAACGTTGAAAGAGAAAATGAACTTCGACGTTCATCCCATTGGATCTTTCCATTCGTCACAACTTGTAGAAACGTAGCGTTGATAAGCGAATCTGATAAACATCATTGTCACGAATAGAGTCACGATGGATCTAATCTGTTGGAGAATCTGGATTGAGACGTGGATTATTTGATTCGGGTAGCAGAGAAAAGTAGTAGATAAAAATAGTTTCTCCTACGGTTGCGTAGAATTCGGTAAACAAGCTTGGTAAATGAACTTGAAATTGGATCCAACTATGGCCGAGGAATTTCTTCGATCGTTCGCGATTCGTGTTACTCCAGTTGCAAAGCGAAGGAAGTGGATAAATTTTTGGCCAACAGTTCCCTCTCCCCCTGTCTGCTCGTGAAGAATCAGTTGGGAAAAGAAATTATTCTCCTACTCGTGATTTCTTAACCGTGGATTTCCTAGAATTGTCGAAAGAGAATTTGTGGCGAGAATTATTTATCTTCGTCGGACTCAACTTTCAACAATATTGAAAATTTTGTATCTCGACGACTAAAGATCCATCGTGCGAAGCATCAGTCGTTAAAAATGAAAACCTTTTTATAAATTTTCCACTCAAACTCGAAATTTTGCGATATTAGAAAAATTAGGAATTCTCTAAGAGGAGATCGATCTAACTCTGAAGAATCGTTTCTTCTCTTCTACGTTCTTCAAACCATCTCAAACTCTCGAATACTTCTTACAACGCTAAGAAAAAGAAAAGTTCTATTATTCGCTGCACAAGGCTTCAGAAATTTTCTAAATCTCTCTTCCAAATCCTCGAAAATCGCAACGAGAGAAAAAAGCCGCGCTTACGATTCGAAATACCGTCGTGGAAAAATCGGCCGGCGTTTAATTACATTTAATAATGGATCCAGTTCGTTCCACGATCGACTTGTTGCGCGCGGTTTGCGCAAACCGCCGCCGCGATTTCGGCGCGGAATTCGCCATTTTTTCGAGGTTTATCCATCCTTCGACAACCGATTCTATTAGGATTCTTCCCTCTTCGAGGCAAATTCTCGAAAAAGTGACGAGGGTATCTCGAGATGGACGCGTTTCATATATTTACGTTTCACGTTCGATCGGTTTGTTAAAAGCGTATCCTCGCTCGCCTCGCTTGAAACGAATCGAAACAGGCTATGTTGGAACGGAGTTTGCGATAGCCGGGAGTTTGCGGTTTTAGTTGAAACGGCAGGGAAAGATGATTTGTTTGGCGGACGAAAATTGGTTTGTAAAAGCGGTTTGCTCGAATCGATGAAGGATGAATTAAAATGAGCGAGAAGAAGTGACTCGAGAATAGCATAAACGGTTGACGGTTATGTTCTACTCGGTGAAACGATAGAATTATTTATGGATAGATAGAGAAATATGTACGCGAGTATATATTCTTACTGTTGTAGTATAAGAATAATTTATAGGGTGTGCGATACAGTGATGATGAAAGTGTAGAAACATAAAGTTCTCTATTAAGTTAGGTATTCTTCTTGGGGAGATTTCTTAAATTTTGGAGCGCGATTCGAGTTTGAAAGCTTCGTGACTTTGTGCAATTTTGTATCCAATCGCGAGAAGGAGGTCTTCTTTCTTTGTGTGTATAATTTTGAAAAAGTATTGGTGAAATTAGGAGTGTTGTTAGCATCCTGGTTGATGGCAACTATTTTTTTGAATCCAAGAATTCGTTCGCTCGAATCGATTGATGATGGAAACAAAGGAATCGAAGGAAATTTGATCGACAAGCTCGAGAAATCGAAACGAAAGCGGAAACTCGACGAGGCGAGCTAAAATTGCGAGGAAAATTCGTTGATGTTGCAACGAAAGAAAAATTTACGATTTTTTCCCTTGCTCTAAATTTTGGTTAGAATTATTCGAAACAATAATTTATTTTATCCTCAGAAAATTAATTCGACAATTACAGCGCAACAAGTAGTCGAAGTAAAATTAACCTAACCTCGATTTTTCCATTTTTCTTTCTTTTTTTTTTTTTTTTTTTTTTTT